GTTTCCTTCTGCCAAACAATGACTATGATTTGGCGACCAGTCAAGGGAGTTTCAATTGATGAGATTGGGGATTCCAAATTCCTTTTACAATTCTATCATGAAGGCGACCTGAGCAGAGTGGTGGATGAAGGACTTTGGTCATTTGAGCAAAATCTTGTTGTCATCAAACGAGTAGGGCGTACTGATAGACCACTTGAGATTTTACTGGATCACATGGATTTTTGGATTCGGCTCTACAATTTACCATTAAGCTACATGACGGTAAGAGCAGCTCGTGGATTAGCCAACAACATCGGATCGTTTGTGCAAGTGGATGAGAGCTCTCTTGGAGGAAAGCAGAGGTTGGTCCTGCGTATTAGAGTCACTATTAATATTACTATGGCATTGACTAGGCGGTTAAAGGTCAGGCGGGAGGGGGATAATTGGGTCTGGGCAGACTTTTGTTATGAGAGACTCCCAAATTTTTGTTTTCTGTGTGGGATTCTTGGTCATTCTGATTGCTTTTGTCCCTCTAATTCATATAATGGCTCATGGATCGGAGAGAAGCCTTACAGGTCATGGCTACGGGTTGATACGCGGCGGGGGGGGTCGCACTCGGGCAACAAGTGGCTTATTCCTAGCAACAACAAGCTAGGTGACAGGAGGGACGAGGGAGCAGAATTCGATAAAGTGATAAGTGAACAAGAGAGCTATTTGGTGGAAAATCTCCTATCAAAGGGCAAGGAAATAGCCATTGAGAAGGGTAGCGAGGAGGGGGTACATGCAAGTATGGATGTGGATGAAGCTACTCCAAAAAACTTGGAAGTGGCGGTGTTGTCTGGGTAGCATCGCCAGTAGCAAATGATTTTGAGAATAAGTAGCTAGGAGGAACCTTTAGCGGAAGCTGGTCAAACCACTCTATCCTTGTCAGTGGCTGGGAAAACTTGATTATGTTTTTTCTATGATTTGTTGTCATCTAAGAACTTTTGTGTGTTTTTTGTGTTTCCTTTTAGTTGCAGGTGCAACATAGCTGTGAATGGAATCTACCACTTCGCGGGGTTAGCGAGATGGACTGCTATTAAGCGTATTTCCAGCTCTGAGTCTCACCCTAAGATAGCCTTTGTTATGACGTACTTATATCTGGTCTTCAGTTTTAATATTAATTAAGTTATCTTTTGCCAAAAAAAAAACTTCTGATAGAGGAAAGGAACGCAAGGAATATACACAACCGTAAAGCCCAAAGAGTTTTAAAATAAAGTAATTGGTAATTGGTAAGGTGTATTGAGACTTCTTCAATGTCGAAAATGGTCCTGATCTTTTCACGAAAAAAATTGAAATTATATGATAGAGATATTCATCATATAAACTTCATATTTTGTAAAATTGAAATTCTTACGATGAATGTCTTCCTTCACCGTATGAGGTATATACTCCCTTCATCCCAATTTATTTTGTAAAGTCAAAATGTTTTGACTTTATCAATAATAAAAGTTAATCCTTCCTATATATAATAAATGGGAAAGTTCCCGAAATAGGACTAAAACAGTTTCAAAATTCTAAAATAGGACTGTCATGTTTTTTATTCCTTAAAGATGACTAATTACTGCCATGTTTAAAAAAATACTGACATGTTTGAAGTCTGATACTGCCAAAACATGGCAGTAATTAGTCCTATTTTGGGAATAAGAATATGGCAGTCCTATTTTGGAATTTTCTAACTGTTTTAGTCCTATTTCGGGTAACATCTCATAATAAATTCAATTTTTAATTATTAAAATTTACATATTCATAAACTACATCAAAATCTCTTCAAAGTTGTAAACTCCAAATTAAATTATAATATAATTGAAAATTAGCATTCTAATTAAGTGAACAAAACGAAATTGTTTGACCAAGAAATAAAAGTCAAATTTGTAAATCAATTTGGGACGGAGGTAGTAAATTAATTTTGATGAAGCTTAAGCTCTTTGCCACAACTATTAATCACTTTTGTGGAGTCAAGTGTGTTACGATTATATATGTCGAATTTTATCTTCTAATAAATACGGAGTACTACGGAGTAGTACATAGTATGAGTAATTTCATCATTAATACTGGACATAAAAAATTATAAGAGAATCTCCGATGCTACAATGTGAAATGTGCACATGTGACATGAAAGATAATCATCTAAATATTAGCAAATAAGTTATCTCACCTTATATGAATGATTTCATATAATTTTGGTAAGTTTTTCTCTGCAATGTCAACTGCAATGTCAACATCTAGACGGTCTCCTTGATATTGGGGAGAAAAACTTATCAAAACTGTATAAAACCATTCAAATAAGGAGAGAAAGAATTTATTTACTAATATTTATGTGACTATTTCTCATTACACATGTGCACCGTACACATTAGAACATTGGAGAAGCTTTAACATTCACAATACATTCTCAAGATTTTTGACATATAATGACAATAAAATTGTCATAATTAGGCCAGACGAGATTACTTTATTAGTCATATTTGTAAAACATCGCCATTAATCAGCGTTACTTTGGTCTTTGGTTACAATTTTACCTCACTGATAATACACATACATAACATGTGCACTGGGGGTGCGCACGCACACACAATATAAAGTTGAATATATTTACAAAAATGCTACCACATTTCTTATTCATAGTTGTGCATACTATCATATATATTTATGTTTAACATAGTGCACAACTCTCAAATCTAATTGATGGAGTATAATCCCATGTCTGAATTTCATCATTAACGTTTCATATTTATTCTCATTTCTCTTAGCGCAGCTCGCGTTATCATTTTATCCAATATATATACTCCTTATATATATTACTAAATTAAAAGTGAAATTAGGGCGGATTCCGCCTGTTTCTAGGCCTAGATGGCGAGTCACCTATAATAGGCCTAATTTTTAAAAATTACTCCGTTTTGTAAAAAAATTCTCTACGCTTCTCTCTTGTTTCCACTATATATCCCATCCAAATTATCCGTCCAACTTTATTATACTTTTGAATAAGTTTTATATACGGAGTATATTGAAATTTTAAATTTTTACGAAAAAATATTAATACTTTCACAAAATCACAATTCAATTTCATAACCATTTTTAACTAGAAAAGGTAAAACATATTCTCAATTTCACTATTTGATAAAATGTTACTCCGTATTTGAAACATATTTGCAATTTCACGATTCAATAAGACAATAATCAATAAGTAAGTCAACAACTAAAATTCTAAATTCAATAATAAAAAGTAAAGAGTTATCATAACTATTAGCAAATAATGCATTAATGTGCTTTTAAAAATAAATGATGTATTAATTTAGTAAGTAAAAAACACAGATTAGGGATTTAAGGGGCGACACACCAAAGGTAGAAAGAACCATAGAATAACAGAATTGTAGAGTTGTACAAGCAAAAGTGAGGCAAACCTACCTCTAATGTTTTTACAATTTGTTTACTATTCTTCTTACCGGGCATTACTAGTTAGATGAAAATACTAGATATGCCCAAAAACTCAACCTACTCAGCATTAGTATAAAACACAAATATCGTGTTTAATTCTTTTCACTTTCTTGAGCTTAATTTTGTTTCACTTTCTTGAGCCTAATTTTGTTTCACTTTCTTGAGCCTATATTGTGTAATCCCTTAGCTATAAGATTGAACCCCAATACACTTCTATATGAAATTTGTACATCATCATTCCTCCTATTGAATATAGTATAATAGAAATTGACGCACAGCTTACCCAAAAAATGTCGATGTTAGTATTCCGTATATTGTTTGTGCAAAGAGATGTGTGCAAAAAATAAAGATGATTTACAAAAATATGATTAATGACTAAAGTAGTAATGAAATCATAGTAATTCATGTTCAAGTTTTGAGCTTAAGTTACCACAACATCATATTGTAGTAATGAATAGTCATATTTATGTAAATCATCATTATTTTAGTAATATTCATGTAAAAACCCCAAAAATTCTTTATATCAGTTTTCCCTATCGTTTTATCTTGTCCGCCACACTGGATACGATCATATATGAAAAACAAAGACAAACTTATATGACTTGTTGAAGTAATTTTACATAAACTGAAACTTCTCATTTAGCTAGATGTAGATAAAGGTATAATAATTAGGTGACAACTCCGATACCCATTTAAAAAATGGTGTGTCGTATCTACCATTCAGTCATTCACCTTATTGGTTCAAATCACTATATCATTTTTTAATTTAAATCTAAATAATTCAGCTTTATTGTTTTGATTGGTTCATGTGGACAAATGTATAGTATCTTAAAAGTATCATAGAATTTACCTTATAATTAATTACTTTTATCAATTCTTTTTGTAGTAGTGTCAAACACTCTAAAAATTAGGTGAATGTGTGTGTTATGATACTCATAAATAAAAAATGAGATCAACAAGCATTCCAGCCTAGCTGGTTGCGAGGTTATCGTGCCTAGCGGGAGGTCTCGAGTTCGAAACCCACTAGACACATAAGGGTTTGAAACTCAATGGAGTGAGTGACTTTCAGCTCTAATTACTCCAGGCCCCCAGTCCCCTCTCCCAGACCCCCTGGAGTAAAAAAATAAAAAATAAAAAAATAAAAAATAAAAAATGAGATCGTGTACGGTACAATGATACATTTAATTAGTCCAAACCATTGTTTCCATCTTTTTTGTATCTTTAAAGTATTGAATTTCTTTCTGTATGTTTAAATTATGTGTTTTTTCGTCAAATATTACTAATAAAATTAAAATGTTATGAACAAAAATGTGACTTAGTAATTATTAGTGACTATAACTGTGTTCAAAGTTACATCACAGTAACTCACATTTAGTTATTACGATGTAAATTTTGAACAAAATTATAGTCATTAATAATAGTTATTACTAATAAGTACGGAGTAATATTTTTGTTCATCACATTTTAAAGAGTACGAAGTAATATTTATGAAATCATTTCCTAAATTATTCAATTGAAAGATTGGGAATGTATATTGGTACCGCCCAAAACAAGAAGATAACAAAATGATTCCACTGAATCAAGAGAAATAAGCTAAGTTTGGCTAGTAAGGTACTAGCACGTTTTAATCTAGCTATCTGCTAATCTCATCATTTATAAAGCTAATTAAGCTAGAAAAAACCGTTATCAAATGCAAAGTTATTATGCAGCAGTCCATGATGATGATGATAATCAACATCATGATCATTGTTATGGGTATTAAGATGATGATGGTGATCATTAAGACCCGCCATTATCCCCCGCGGTTTGACCTCAGCAAGATCGAACAATCCAGACGTCCCATTCACAGCAAAAAGCGTAGAAGTAGCGTTGACCGCGTCAACGATCTTCTCCATCTGAACAGCCACACTTTTCCTAAGCTCATCCATGCAATTCCGAAGCTGATCCAGATCACCCAACCCTAGCTCCTCGATCGGACTTTCCCACCAAAATTTCCTCTCTGTCCTCTCTTTTCGCACTCCGTCAAGCGTCTCCCCTCTCTTCCTCTCTTCCTCCACCTCCGCCAGCATCCGCGAGAGCTGCACGTTCATCTCGCGGACGCTCGCATTCCGGTGGGCCTCCACAAGATGGTGCCCCACCGGAACATTTATGATCACCGGGTCTCCACGGGAGAGAAACCGGTCGATGATGGGTTCCACGTGCGGGTGCCCGAACGAGAATACTTTCCCGGCTGGCGAGAAGACGATGATGGCGACTTCGACGCCGCATAAGATGCAGAGCTCGCTGGCTTTCTTGAACAGTCCGGACCGCCGCTTTGAGAAGGTGACTTGGAGGTGATTCTTGATCTCTATTTTTGCGATCTTGATCTTTTGGCGACCCAGGCTAGGTTTCTTTGCCATATCTGGTTAATTGTTTTAATAATAAGAAGAGCTCTTTTGTCTATATGATATTATATTAGTTGAAATGTATGGACAGTTGACCTTTTTTAGCATGAATGTCAACAAGAAAGTGAGTGAGTATATATAGTTTGACATTGTGAAGTTTCATTCATTTTGGTAGCATTTATTTATATATTTTCATAAATTACCCAATGATATGGGGGTTAGAAAATCTCACTGTCTTAATGGAAGGGATTTAATTAAGGGAATGTACTTGAGAATTAGTAGTATATTGTTGTTATTCTTATCTGAGTTGACAATATGTTTTTATCATTTAATGTTTCATTAACCTCTGTTTAATTATCCTTTTTCACACCTACTTATGACTCATCGAAAAATAGTACTAGTACGTAGTACTACGTATGTATTTAATATATTTACACATAAAAATTTAAAATTAGAACAAAAGAATTATGATACTCAAATACGCCTATATATTAATATTTGTGAGAAATTAAAGTAGTATATTACTACCTACTATTTTATTTATGCTAAAAGGATATTGGTATAATGATCAGCTCTCATTCGATCTTTTTTAATAAACAATTACTCCGTATTAGAGAAGCAAATAAAGGAGATCAGAACTTATTATACGTAATACTCCGTAACTGTTTCTTATAAAAAGTCAACTATTTAATTACATGGGTGAATTAGTGAATTACTCGGCTAATAAAGTTTCTATAAGTGGGTTAATGGAGTAATAAAAGTGGGTTGTGAAGTTATATATTACTACCGTCTCACTCAATTTTACCAAGTCTATGTTAGGTGTCAAATTAAAAAAGTAAAAATTGTGCGATTGAGATTTATGCAGAGAAGAGAGAAATGAGTAGAATCACAAATTCATTGCTTTATATGGAAAATGAAACTTTTTATGGAACAAATAAAAAAGAAAAGTTATCAAAGTCCACGGAGATGATTGGAGTACTATCGTAAGTAGTACTAAACAACATTCTATCCGTTACAAAATAAAAACGTAGTTTCAGATTAATAACTAGAATGAATCAAGTAAAAGTTAATTTTTTAGAGCCTGTTTAGTAATCACGTTTTTTGGTTTATCAGTCTTATCAATTAATTTTTAGAAATTGCCTAAAAATGGAGTAAAAGTATAAGGAAATTCTTAAATAGGAGTTCTTATGTTTTCTTCCCTAAATAGGAATTTTATACTCCTATTCAAAAACATACAAAAATTGGCTTCCAAATTTGCCCCTGGTATTATTGCGCCATTATTTCCCCAGATTGTTTCCCAGATTCGTTTAACCGTTTTCCCGAACCTCTCTTCCGCCGCCTTTCCTACCTTCCGTTTTTTTATTCTTTTCTACGCAACGTCTCTTCTCTCTTCTTCAAACTTCACTGACGAAATTCCTTGATTTTCTTTAATGGCGTACGACCAATCTGGTGATCCTCTCCAGCTGCTATTGCTTTTATTGAACACAATTACTTCTTCAAATTTCGTTTGTATCAGTTTTGACGAAGTAGTTGATTTCAATGAATTTCTTGTGAATTGATGTTCATACATATGTATAACATTGCTGCTGTTATTTATTCTCATCTTCTGCTCTTCCCTAAGATCACTATTCGTTACTTGTTGGTGAAAATTCAATGTTTTGACTACAGAGTTTCACTTTCTGTATAAACAAGTGTTCATTCAAAGTTTGGCTGATGTTATGTTTCTGAATTGCGATTTTTTTCCTTTTGTTATTCTGTTAATCGTTTTTATGCCATATATATGCCATTTCACATTATAGGAAATTGTACCTATGTCATTGCACTTTTGCCTAAATATGTTTCAAATTTAATTATTTTTAACTTTTTTTTGTAGTTATCCATATGGATTCTGTTGTTTTGATAATGCTGAGCTTGGATGGTAGCTGGGACAATGATTACACTTTTACTTGTAAAGACAAATTTGGCATGCACATTCGATATTCTTCCACATTCGGTGAATTTATGTCTCAGCTTTCTTCAATTTTAACTTCATACAAATCACATAGTCACTTCCAATTGTCTTATATGGTTGATCAATGCCCTCCACCTATTTCCATTCATGATGAGGATAGCTTTCGTTTATTCCTTCACCTCAAATTACTCCAATCTGATTTTCAAAAACTCTCCTTGTGTGTTGAATTTTCAAGTGATTTTCCTCATGCACTCACTGATTTTCTATCACGCACCGACATGTTTGCTATTCCTTCTCCATCAAACGAAGGTTGCTCTGATTATCACCACCATTCATATCATACGAACAATTCTAAAGAGGTCCATTCTTCTGCTTTTAATGACCATGTAGCCAATTATGCACAAACCTTTAACCACTCACCATGTAATCATGTTGCATTGTCAATGAACCAGGATGTTCTATCCCTTCTATCTCACCGCCTTACTCACCTCCTTCTCATTTGTATTCTTCTGATATATATTCTATTCATCAGAATTTGGAAGTCATCACTCATTATCATCCTACTCAGATAATTGTCGATGGTATTTATCAGTTTAAGGCAGACCTCATCATTCATTTAATGTTGTACGCCATAGATAATGGTTTTCAATACAAAACGCGCACATCGAGAAGAGCAGAGTTGCACGTTGTTTGTTTGCACGAAAAATGTAACTGGAGTGTGAGGGTTGTTAAGGTCCGTGGGGTCCTCATGCTTCAAATCAGAAAGTAATTTTCTATCCTTTGTTATTTTACTTGTATACATCTTTTACAATATGTTCTGCCAAATTAGTGGACTTTTTTCCAAATCTTTGCATTTTATTTATTATGCCTTTTCATGTCACAGGTTTAACTCATTCCACACATGCTCGGTGGATTTTAGGCAAGGAAAGCATCGACAGGCTACATACCGAATTGTTGCAGATCTTGTTTCTCATAAGTACTTGGATGCTTCTAGAAAACCGTATGTACCATACGAGATACGTGCTAACATGAGTGTCATGCATGACATCTCCATGTCATACAAGAAGTCTTGGAAAGCTCAAAAGACTGCAATGCAAAAACCATTCGGATCAGATGCCGAGTCATATCAACTTTTAACTTCGATGGCCTATATGCTTGACAAAGCAAATCCACATTCTGATTTTTCTCTTATTAGAGACGATGATGATGTCTTCCGTTATTTTTTCATGTCTTTTGCACCTTGGATGGAATCATGGAAGTTTTGCAGACCTATTCTAATTGTAGATGGATCATTTTTGAAGGCATACTACAAAGGAACACTTCTCACAGCTTGTGCCCAAGATGCCAACAACCACATTGTTCCATTGGCCTTTGGAATTTGTGATACCGAGTCTAAAGAGTCTTGGCTTTGGTTTTTTTCTAAATTGTCTGAATCTCTAACATTTCATGAGGATATGCACATTCTATCTGACAGGCATAAAGGTATACTTAGTGCCGCTAAACGGATCTTCCCTCATGCTAGCCATGGCTATTGTGTTGAGCACTTGTGTCGTAATATGATCTCAAAATTTAAGGGAAATGCCACTGATTTAGGTTGGAAATTCAAGGCTGCATATAAGGCTGCAACAATCAAGGAATTTGAGGAATATATGGCCTTGTTGGATTCTCAAGAAGTTCGTATACGCCCTTGGCTTGAAAAAATTGGCACTCACAAGTGGGCAAAGTGTATGTGTGGTACAAGGCGTTATGATGTGATGACTTCCAATTGCGCAGAATCAATGAACAACGTCAATGTTTCTGCCAGGGAGTGTTGTATTGCCAAGCTTATTGACTTTATTAGAAAAAGGATGCAAAGTGGTTCGTTGAAAGAAAGGAAAGCGCTGAAAACACTCAAACTATTTTGACAAACAAAAGGGAGAAGCATCTGGTTGATCTTCAAAGACAAGCTGCTAAGTTGAAGGTCAGTCATTTAATATTTGTGATCTGAATATGTATTGCAGTGCATTCTCCATACTTGAATTTCCAACGGAACTTCCAAATACTTGGCATTTATGCCACATATTTGGTCTCCCAATTGCATATCTACTACCATTTCTTTCGTTACAATTTCACTTCACATTTGCATTTTATTTGCACTGACCTTCATATTGCATTTTATCTTATTCATATTGCCGGTGAAGCCCACATCATATTTTGAGTTTGAAGTTGTTGATAGGCATTGTCGCTCCTTTGTAGTGGATCTTCAAACTCGAACATGCACGTGTGGAGAGTTTCAACTCAATCATTTTGTCTGCATTTATGCGGTTGCTGCTATAGGTCTTCGTCCTCGTGAATCTTGTTACGATTATATTTACCCATATTACACACGAGATTATTGGCTTTCTACATGGAATGGTGTTATGCACCCTATCTGTGATAGAGAATCTTGGTTGGTGCCTTCTAATATATCCACTATTCAATGTAAACCTCCAGCCTGTTTGAAAAGACCACCTGGTCATCCCAAGAAGTCAAGAATACCTTCTATTGGTGAGCATCGTGGGAGTAAATGACAAAAATGTTCTAGGTGCAACATACTTGGTCATAATAAGAAGACTTGTCGCAATCCTATTCGAGCAACATGTCATTTGGAATGATTTTATATTTACTTCTTCGTTTTCAACTTTTGGATTATACAATAGAACTGAACTTGTTGTCTCTAAAGCATGTACTGACACATACCCTATCTGGAACATGTCCTTTTATTTTTATGCTAAAGTTTTCCCATTACTTGTTACTTCTTTTGTCTTTTCTGCCATTGTGCTTTTGCTTTCTTTTATTTAATTATTGCAATTCAACTTTCTGATTACATAATACATGTTAATTTAACTGGAATGATGGGTTCTTTTCACACATGTAGTTGAAAATCTCCTATCTTTGTTATTCCATGTTTTTGGCAATTTATGTCATTCTGTCCATCAATAATAAAAACATGCATACTTGTGCGTACCGTTGTATCTAGCCATTCTTCGTTCACAAACAACTTGTATAGCCATATCTTAGACTCTATTTTCATAGTGTCAAATAACATCGGCTCACTGTTCATGTTGTCTTCTCCCATTGTATATAATCTTCCACTTTTTTTCTTCAACCGCTTCAGCAATCCAGTTTTGAGAAACACCCGCACCTTCTCAATTTCTTCATTTGGTGGTGGCTCAGTGGGATCCACTGCAAAAGGCCCATAACTTTTTGGCAGAAAATAGCTACTTTCTTCCTTTCTTTTGGCAATTTGTTTCCTCCTCTTTCGTCTAGCACTATCTTCAGCTGGTGTGTATCGGTCAGGTGATCGTGCATTTTGCTTTGGTCTTCCATGCTCCACTATATTTTCATGTCCCTTTCAAGATTTAAAAATATATATATTCAAACTAGTTAATCATATTACTACAAACCTTATAAAAAAATTGATTACTCATATTTCAATTAGTTAATCTCCTTTCTTTGTCATCTCTCACCTCAACTGCTTGTTTTTCGCACCCCATTTTCTGCCCTTCCTGCATTTGAAAACACTCATGCTTAATTTTTCATATGCATTTTATATCACATAAATATATTTGAACTAGTTATTCACATTACCTCAGTGCTGATTGGTGGTATTGCGCTGGTTTCTCTACTTGCATCACTCCCAAACACTTGATTTTCCACGTTATCTACGTTTCTTATCAATTCATTCATAAATTGCGTGTTCACATCATCCCACATATCTACTTGCTCTCCTTTTTCTTTCCCATCACACTTTTCTTCCTCTGCCCCTACTCTTTCTTCCCTAACTTCTTCAACTTTATTATCATCTTCCATTCTTTCCTCATTTTCTCTTTCAGCCTCTGCCCCTACTCTTTCCTCACTTGCTTCTTCAACTTCCTCCACTCTATCATCACGCATTTTCTCTTGAGTTTCTGGCCCAAATATGTTGAAATTTGGTGTTCCCAATACTTCATCATGCTTTCCAGTATCCACACTTCCTCCTACTGCACTCTTCTCTTGTTTCTTCTCCACTTCGTCCTCTATAGATTCACCTTTAGTCTCCTCATGTTGTGTCAACTTCTTCAGATGTGACAGTATTTTTCCTAGTTTTGCGTGTTGGCTCTTCTATTCCTTTTTCATTTTTTTCAGTTCTGCCACCAACCTGGCATTTGCTTCCATTATCTTGGCATTTTCCTTGCTTATTTTCCTTACTTGTCTCAAGATGATGTCAATCTTCTGCTGCTCTCCAAATCCAACCATCCCTATGCCATCATCATCATCATCCATCTCATCTTGTTCTTCGTTCTTTTCCCCCGCACTGCCAATCACCCTCTCTCCATCCACCCTATCTTCTTTACTGGTACTGCTTTGTCCTTTCCGCAATCTTAACCTTCTCTTTTTTACTAACATAGGAAATTTGTTAATTTCCTCTTCAGTAGCTACCATCTTTGACCATTCAAACTGCAATAAAACATGGCACATCAAATTCAAACTGCAACAAAACATGGCATATTAAGAAGTTATATATTTATATTCGCATACCATATTTATAATACAAATATGAAACAACTTACATTCTCATTGCAGAAAATAATCTCACTGAATACAATCAATGAAGGTTTTTTGGTAAATGACCACTTCATAGCCCTTGGAATTCCTCTTTCTTTACCTTCCTTGATAATGCAAATTCCATCTTTTTGTAGACCAGGGAAATTTTCAAATACCCAAACCTGAAGAGCAATTAAACATCCTGGGAGCGTCGCTCGTTTCCCTTTGCACTTTTTCAAACTCTTCACATTTGTTCTCATGTTTTCTACTAAATCGTTCCACACATCGTCACCCCATGGGTAATCATTAAACGCAGCCAAATCTTCCACCAAGTTCACATACGCTGCTGGCAACTCCCGTGCCACCTGATTTCCAAGTAGTCCATGTGATAGTACTTGCAGAAGTGCAAGTTTAACACCATCTTCTTTCTCCGCTTCCGGGTCGTTATTGTCATACTTCTGCAAAGCATCAATTACATCAGTTCTTCTTACACTTTATGCACTTCCAAAATATTTCTTCCAAATATGGCCGCTTAGCTGCTCCTGTACCTGAGGCTTTTCTCCACCAATTTTCAACCCTAACAACAAACATAGGTCTTTCTTACAAAGGCTTATGACGCTGTTTTGAATATGAAATCGAATGACATCGTTCTCCTTCAGTTTGTTCGCTCTTTTCACATAGTTGCATAGCAATCCAAGCTGCAACTGCCCACTTATTGTTTTCATTTCTTCTAAATTTAGTACCCATCCAAAAATTGTGTTTCTAAAAACCTGCAATTCCTCCTCCTTCAATTTGTTCTTTATCCTCTCCATGACCTTGCTTAAATTGCAATAGCAGTTAATCCTCATGCAATCCAAGTTTTTGAGTTCCTTTGTCCTAAATGCTCTTTTAATGACCTATTAAACCAATTGACAACATGCATCATATATTCCAAAAGATCTTAACCAGTTATTGGCTATTATCTCAACCCATTTAATTCATTTTACATTAACACGTAGACAACTTTCTTCCACAACCAATTTGATTCCAAAATTCACACAGAAATGTAACTCATTATTCCATTCTTTTCTACATTTTAGTTTATACATTTGGAATACTTTTCGGCCTTTATCACATTCTCTGCTATGTCATTCCTCCTATGACATCTAGTGTTCGTCATTTACGCAACATTAATTTGCACACATTATTTCATAGAGAACTTTTACCATTTTATTCCATAACCTGTTACTCATTCACATATTTCCATTACTTTGGCAGAAGTAAAGGTTTATGAACCACTTACAATGACCTATTACACCAATTCACAATATCCATCATATATTTTAAAAGATCTCAGCCACTTACTGACTATTATTTCAACCACTTTCACAATACATTATTCTCTACACCATAACATTATTATCTTAAAATTCATTCACAAATCTTCCACATAATGACTCAACTTCATCCCATTTATTTCAATATACATGAACACGCAGACAACTTTTTTCCAAGACAAATTTGATTCCAAAATTCACACAATCTATGATATGTACTATTTGTGAATCACTTGGCAGAAATGTAACTCATTAATCCATACTTTTCTTATCCAAGTGTTCGTACATGTACATTAGTGTTCATCATTTACACAACATGAATTTTTATCCAAGTTTCTTCTTCATTTTTCTCACATGCAATTCCAAAATATGACATATGTTGTTACTCATTCAAATATGACATATACTGTTACTCATTCCATCCGTTTGGCAAAAGCAAAATCGTAAAGGCAAATTACCATTTCGTCATTGATGCGTACTGTTAACGGATTAGCTTTTGGAGCCTCGAAGACATCATCTTCCATCTTCGCTGCTACTTATTCCTCCGTCGCTCTTCCAGTTTCTTCCTTCTTCGGTCTTCTATTTTCTTCCTTCTTCGCTCTTCTACAGTTCGTAGCTCATTCTCTCTTCTTCGTTTTTTTTTTGAATTTTTCGATGTTGCTTTGAATACCCAAATACGGTGTCCGAGCCTGTAGAAATTAATTGGCGGTTAGCTTTGGATACCTTTTCGAGAAATGTTGTGCGTACGTGTGGAATGAGGCGACGTATTTGGCAGAGGGCATTTTTGTCAAGTCAACCATAAAACACTCCTATTAAACATAGTCTACGGAAGTACTCCTGTTTAAGCAAATAGGTAAGTGTTTGCTCCTATATAGGTAATTTTCTCATTAATTTTTCACCAAACGCGTAATTCTTTCTTTTGTGTCAGATTGTGTAGTAATCAAAAGAATAAGGCCAGAGTTACTTCTCTGGTTGAATTGGCTGAAGTTACGTACTATAGAGGACGATTATAACTACTTTTCGTATTTTTTTATTTTATTAATAAAATATATTTAAAATATAATTTTTCATAAATCAGCAGAACAAACCAATCTAGCAACTTCAACTAGAACTTCATAATTTTCAGTAGAATTAGTCAATTTCAATGACACTTAAAAGTTATTTTTTAATTTTTATAATTTACTACTATGTTAAGGTTATACTATTAAGTCCTATTGAACCGTAACACTTAATTAATACATAGTATAATTGATTATGATTAAATTTTGATGCATAAAACATCTTAGTAGACAAAATTGAATTTAAAAAAATGATACCCCATCGCTGAGGCCCATGACACTGATCGGACAATTAACTAAGAGGATGTAAATAAGATTTTAATCACAAAATAAAATTTAAGATGAGAGTGAGGTGTGTGTAGGCCCATCTACTTTCTTTAAAAAACGTTCCGTAAGTCTTAATCGATCAATATTATGATAATCACGTCTAAGTACGTCTGATATTGTTGGTTGCTAATTAGTTGGAATGTCTTTACTTGGATTGGTTTCAATCTTATATCAGATCAGATTAGACCAAACTTAAACAAATCAGACTATATTCAACGGACCTCGATGTACTAGATCAGATTCGATAATTATAATATAATTATTCCTTCATATAACATTTTACTGAAATTACTCCAGAGATGGACAATCTGTCCTAAACTAATGACAACAATGTACAATTATAGTTTGGGAAATTACCTAAATATGA